TGGCAGATGTGTTGTTACGTACCCTTACCACCTGTAGGCAGCCCGTCAGGAAGTCTAGGATCCAGTTGCAGAGGGAGGTTTTTAGTCCCAGGATCCTTAGCTTAGTGATGAGCTTTGAGGGCACTATGGTGTTGAACGCTGAGCTGTAGTCAATTAACAGCATTCTCACGTAGGTGTTACTCTTGTCCAGGTGGGAAAGGGCAGTGTGGAGTGCAATAGAGATTGCATCATCTGTGGATCTGTTGGGGCGGTATGCAAATTGGAGTGGGTCTAGGGTTTCTGGGATAATGGTGTTGATGTGAGCCATGACCAGCCTTTCAAAGCACTTCATGGCTACAGACGTGAGTGCTACGGGTCGGTAGTCATTTAGGCAGGTTATCTTAGTGTCCTTGGGCACAGGGACTATGGTGGTCTGCTTGAAACATGTTGGTATTACAGACTCAGTCAGGGACATGTTGAAAATGTCAATGAAGACACTTGCCAGTTGGTTAGCACATGCTCGGATTACACGTCCTAGTAATCCGTCTGGCCCTGCGGCCTTGTGAATGTTGACCTGCTTAAAAGTCTTACTCACATCGGTTACAGAGAGCGTGATCACATAGTCATCCGGAACAGCTGGTGCTCTCATGCATGCTTCAGTGTTGCTTGCCTCGAAGCGAATATAGAAGTGATTTAGCTCATCTGGTAGGCTTTTGTCACTGGGAAGCTCATGGTTGTGCTTCCCTTTGTAGTCTGTAATAGTTTTCAAGCCCTGCCATATCTGACGAGTGTCAGAGCCGGTGTAGTACGATTCAATCTTAGTCCGGTATTGACTCTTTGCCTGTTTGATGGTTCGTCGGAGGGCATAGCGGGATTTCTTATAAGTGTCTGGGTTAGAGTCCCGCTCCTTGAAAGCGGCAGCTCTACCCTTTAGCTCAGTGCGGATGTTGTCTGTAATCCATCGCTTCTGGTTGGGGTATATACGTACGGTCACTGTGGGGACGACGTCATCAATACACTTATTGATGAAGCCAGTGACTGATGTGGTGTACTCCTCAATGCTATCTGAAGAATCCCAGGAACATATTCCAGTCCTGTAGCTTAGCATCTGCGTCATCTGACCCCTTTTTATTAACCGAGTCACTGGTGCTTCCTGCTTTAGTTTTTGCTTATAAGCAGGAATCAGGAGGATAGAGTTATGGTCAGATTTGCCAAATGGAGGGCGAGAGAGAGCTTTGTATGCATTTCTGTGTGTGGAGTCAAGGTGGTCTAGAGTTTTTTTTTCCTCTGGTTGCACATTTAACATGCTGGTAGAAATGAGGTAGAACGGATGTAAGTTTCCCTGCATTAAAGTCCCCGGCCACTAGGAGCGCTGCCTCTAGATGAGGGTTTTCCTGTTTACTTATGGCCTCATACAGCTCATTGAGTGCAATCTTAATGCCAGCATTGGTTTGTGGTGGTAAATAGAAAGCTATGAAAAATATAAATGAAAACTCTCTTGGTAAATAGTGTGGTCTACAGCTTATCATGAGATACTCTACCTCAGGCGAGCAAAACCTCGAGACATCCTTAGTATTAGATTTTGTGCACCAGCTGTTGTTTACAAATATACACAGACCGCCACCCCTTGTCTTACCGGAGTCAGCCGTTCTATCCTGCCAATGTAGCGTATATCCCGTCAGCTGTATGTTGTCCATGTCGTCGTTCAGCCACGACTCGGTGAAACATAAGATATTACAGTTTTGTATGTCCCGTTGGTAGGATAACCGTAATCTTAGGTCGTCCAATTTCTTCTCAAATGATTGAACATTGGCTAATAGGATTGATGGAAGAGGCAGTTTACTCGCTCGCCATCAGATCCTTACAAGGCACCCAGACCTACGTCCACGATATCTACGTCTCTTTCTCATGCGAATGATGGGGATTTGGGCCTTGTCGGGTGTCTGTAGGATATACTTTGTGTCTGGCTCGTTGTAGAAAAAATCTTTGTCCAATACGAGGTGAGTAATCACTGTCCAGATATCCAGAAGCTCTTTTTGGTCATAAGAGACGGTGGCAGAAACATGAGTACAGAATAAATTACAAATAATGCGAAAAAACACACATAAATTGGTTAGAGGGCTGTAAAACGGCAGCCATCTTCTCCGGCGCCAAATCTCTTCCAGTGGTTATAGGCTTGCATCTGTTTACATTTATTTCATTAGAGAATTATATGGAGAGTTGAACGAATTTCTCTCTTTAATATACTATAATGATGCCTAATGACTAAATAATAAAATTAGTTTTATTCTTAATTAACAAAGTGATGACAGTGCTTTTTATGATGTTTTTCTCTTGTTATTGACCCTGAGAGGGATAACCAATATCTTTCCTTTGGCTTAAAAAAACAAGACAAATGATCAATGTATACTTTAAGTGTCTCATCTGTCTCAGAAGGCAGAACCAGCCCTAGACAGGACTGCTTAATGATCATTACTTTATATAATTATAATAGTTGACTGCACATAGCATGGACACATACTGACACTAACTCCACAGCAACTGGGAATGGGTATGGAAGCTGAAAACGCAGCAACCCAGACCCATATAATGTTGGAGAATACAAATACTGACAATAAAATAAAGAAGTGATATCGCAGTTGTTTAGCATATCTATTCCTACCAGCTCTCACAGTCTCACATCAGAATTAGACTTTCATCCACGTTTCTCAAACGTCAAATTTCGAAGTTGTTCCAAATGTCACATTTGGAAGTGTTTAAGGTTAAGTTTAGGTATTAACTCCAAAGGTAAGGGTTAAAGTTTGGGATAGGCTTAAAACAAAAATATCAAGAACAACTTTCTATCGCTGGATTTGAACATGCAACCTTTAAAATCAGAGGCAGATGCTTACACAACACCCTAGCAAAACCCAAACCTACTTAAAGGTAACAGCACTCACTGTTGCCCCTAGTGGCCTATTTCCACTTCATGTCCCGACCGACGTCGTCAGAGATGGATGGACATCGAGTACTGACTTGTATCACGGGGTGATAGCAACTCCGGGATAATCTTTTTTCAATTCATGTGAGCAAAAGATATTTCATTTTATTTGGAATGGCAAACCAAATTAAGTTACATGAGTTTGGAGGGCTAAAACTATTAAATATAAAGTCATTAAACCTCTCTCTCTTAAAGCTTTATACCTAAAATGTAGCTAAATCCAAACTGGGTTTCCAGTAGGCTACTAAGAAAGGCACATACGATGTTTAAAAGGGGTCTCCTTGCTGTTATATAGATTAAAACCATCCATTTCCGGTGGATTGACAATGGAACCCTGTTGTATCCTTTTTAAATGAAGCCATACAGAGTTGGCTACTATTTAAATGTTATCCTCCAGAGGAGGCAGAATGTAGGCTATATTACAGCAAATAATATGGCTAATCTCCAAAGTACTGATGGAGGAAAAAGCGATTTTCTTGTAGAGAATGTATAAGGAAGGTTTCATGTTTATGAATGACATTGTAAACAACAAAGGTAAAATTATGTCACACAAGCAATTAATCACGGTGTAAGGAAATGAATGCTCAATACAAAATTATAACCAGTTCATCGCAGCTCTGCCACAAAAATGGAAGAGGCAATTACTTAAAAGAGAAAGGAATGAATTAATCGTAAATGTCTTAAAATGACCAATATAAATCGTAAAATGTATCAGTTTCACTCATGGTCAAGAGGGTTGACAACTATGCCGTATAAAATTCAAGATAGTTGGGAACAGATTTTCGATATCCCAATACCATGGCATCAGATTTATGAAGTGATATACAAAGTAACAATTGAAGCATCAATCCGTTCTTTTAAATTTAAGCTATTATATAACATTCTCGCTACAAAAAGAATGCTCAGTATATGGGGCATTGAACAGTCAGCCCTGTGCAGACTCTGCCACCCGAAAACATAATCAATAGAGTATCTCTTTTGGTACTGTCCATCAGTGGCTTGTTTTTGGAGTCAGGTCCAGGAATGGTTGTTACCATGGGTAACACTGGGTGCACATTTTGGGTTTTTTCACTAGTACTACACATCTCATTCAAATAACAAACTCATCATCGAGCTTTGATTATTTGCATCAGCTGTGTAGTGCTAGGGCGAAAACCAAAATGTGCACCCAGGAGGGGCCCCAGGACAAAGTTTGGGAAACCCTGCCTTACGGTATTGCCCAGGGACACAGGGATTTATGGCAAGGTGGTGGATTGTGGGCATGCGCCTGTCATGGAGGAACAGCCAACTCCTCCACTGCCTGATGTCAGAGTAGCCCACCATTGTCCCGGGGAACATTCGGACTACCTCCAAATCAGCTCGCATCTGACGCACCAGGGCTGTCCCCTTTGTGTGTCCCAAGTCGTTTCCAACGAGGTGGATGACTATGATATATTCATGATCACACCTTGACGAGAGAGAATATTTCAGAACCCTTCCATTGAGAACAGCTCAGCCATATTTCGTGCTCCTGTAGTCATCTAGCCAGCTACATTGTGTAATCGCATAGTAAATATTTGCTTCGGTCTTTGTTTCCTTGCTCTCACCAATTTGCTTTGAGCAATGATCAGTCGGATTATGAGCTGGGATCTTATCAATAAATAAAACGCACAACATTGTGAAGGTTCATAAGGAGAGCATGTGTTCAACTGTATTATAATGTTCTATTATAATGTTGCATAATCACCTTCCGGTGTAAAAATAGGAATTGGTCTGAAGACGAAAAATTAAGGATATTCACATGAGCACCACATGAGTCTCAAAGAAACCCCTAAAAAAAACAAGCACTGGTGTTCAAAATCTTGTTTTATTCAAATTCAGCAGTCCACATATGTTTGTCAATTCATACTTTCCACAACATTTGTCTGGTTTCCATAAAGCTCTGATCATTTTTCGTATTTATTATTGCATAAAATCATTCGTTTTCCTAGACATAATTTTACATATAATAATTTGTATTTTCTTAGAAATTAATAAGAATTTCCAATAAAGCTCCAATGGCTCACTGCAGGCGTAGCATCAGAATATCCGGCAACACTTCTCTTCCTCGGGGCACTGGCCATCTTGGTAACAGTACTCGGCACACATCTAGTTCCCCTTGGGCAGGGCACAGCGACCGGGCTTCACTATGGTAACAGAGAAAAAGCGGTCAGTTACACCATAGAAACATAGGTGTAATAGGAATTTCTAGGTAAACAAACAAGAAAAGCAGTAGCAGATTAAGTCAATCAAATCTATCCATAATAAATCTATCCATATAAAAGTAAAATGTATGTAAAATGTATATGTAAAATGTATGTATATGTATATGTAGCAGAAAAGCTGGAGAAACCAAAAAAGATGTGTCCTCCGAAGACGTGGATGGGTTAATAATAATAATAATTTTTCATTAAAGTTTATTACAAGTTGCAACAGGGAGACACTTCCAGCACAAAAACAGAGAAAATGTCTAACTGGCTTCTTGGAGACAGGCCCTTTCTATTCTAATCAGACAGCACCAAATGTTCTGTAAACTCCAGCTCTAGAGGCCTGTAGGAAGTCAAAACAAACATGCAGTGACTTTGTCAGCTGCTACAGAGTCACACAGTGTTCATAGAATGTCATCAGTACAATACAACAGTGAATAATCAGGGTGTCCTCGGCCCTTGTACCTCCAGTCTGGCGTCAATCACTATCAACAGATATGAGAACAATCCATGACATTCAGCATCAAGTCTAGTGACCATCAACCCACACCTTGAGTGTCACAAGTAGAACTCTGGAAATCATCCGTACACTGACTCTTTCCATTGAAGTCTTACTATTACAATGAGTTGGAACCTTGTTGATGGCCCTTGACAAATTGTCATCTTAATGTTCTGTGAATTGCTGTATAGTAAGTACTGTATGTTGCTACCCCTCTGAAGTCTCAGTCTGATATTCCCAAATTCCCTTTCCCTGAAATATGCATTTGTATCACTTTATCAACCACAATGTGTTATACACTGAGTGTACAAAACATTATGAACACCTGCTCATTCCATGACATAGACTGACCAGGTGAATCCAGGTGAAAGCTATGATCCCTTATTGATGTAACTGGTTAAATCCACTTCAATCATTGTAGATGAAGGGGAGGAGACAGGTTAAATAAGGATTTTTAAGTGTTGAGACAATTGAGACATGGATTGTGTATGTGTGCCATTCAGAGCGTGAATGGGCAAGACAAAATATTGAAGTGCCTTTGAACGGGATATGGTAGTAGGTGCCATGCGCACCGGTTTGACTGAGTCAAGAACTGCAAAGCTGCTCGGTTTTTCATGGTCAACATTTTCCTGTGTGTATCAAGAATGTTCCACCAACCATAGGACATCCAGCCAACATGACACAACTGTGAGAAGCATTGGAGTCAACATGGGACAGCATCCCTGTGGAATGCTTTTGACACCTTGTAGAGTCCATGCCCCAACAAATTGAGGCTTTTCTGAGGGCAATAGGAGGTGCAACTCAATATTAGGAAGGTGTTCCTAATGTTTGGTATACTCAGTGTGTATAGTCTATTGTCTATTGGCCTGCATGGTTCTCGGAAATCTTCTTAATTGAGTGTCTCAGCTCTAAAGAGAGTGGATGTGAAGTATACTGATCTATGTGTATGAAATGTACTTTACAAGCTCCAGCTTTCTTGTTTCCAGAGTAAAGCAGCAATAATTGATGCAATGGATGTCTGTATCTGTCACAATGCATTCATGCCAACATCCGTTGTGGCAGCATTTTCCATCATTGGGGCAGTCACTGTCAGTGGAACAGAACTCGGCACACATCCCTGAGCCCCATCGTCTACGAGGGCACACTCCAGGCTTTGCTTTGGGAACACAATTTGAACAGACATGTCAAGGAACCCAACTTTCCACAAAGAGACATGAACATGGACATAATTAGACTGAACCATTTTCTGAAAACCATTTCTGAAAATCTATCATATTTGTGAGGAGATGGTTATGATAAATAGGCATTTGTATGTGAATATATATTTTTGTGTCTGAATTAGTTTAGGTGACATTTGTCCACCATCATCAGGTCCTGGAGGTCCTGGAGGTCCTGGAGTGGCCTAGCCAGTCTCCTGACCTTAATCCCATTGAAAATCTGTGGAGGGAGCTGAAGGTTCGAGTTTCCAAACGTCAGCCTCGAAACCTTAATGACTTGGAGAAGATCTGCAAAGAGGAGTGGGACAAAATCCCTCCTGAGATGTGTGCAAACCTGGTGGCCAACTACAAGAAACGTCTGACCTCTGTGATTGCCAACAAGGGTTTTGCCACCAAGTACTAAGTCATGTTTTGCAGAGGGGTCAAATACTTATTTCCCTAATTAAAATGCAAATCAATTTATAACATTTTTGACATGCGTTTTTCTGGATTTTTTTGTTGCTATTCTGTCTTCAAATAATATATTCTGTCTTCAAATAAACCTACCATTAAAATCATAGACTGATCATTTCTTTGTCAGTGGGCAAACGTACAAAATCAGCAGGGGATCAAATACCTTTTTCCCTCACTGTATGTATTAACATTAGATGACTGATAGGGGTCGCTGCTTTGAAGCCACCACACAGCCATTTCGGTACTCCTCCTTCATTGTAAGAAAGATTTTGGAAGCTATAGAAATGTATTTATCTACATTCGTTTTTTGACAAATATATTCTATTACAGACACTTTAATGCGTACTTAAAAAGGATATTAAGTTATCTTAACATGAAAATAAAATATTTTGAGAGTGTTATTGTTACTGTCCCCACCACAACAAAGACATTCGGGCCGAAACACTTCTGTTTTTTATTTCTACCTGGTAGTTAATTGCACTCACCTGGTGTCCCAGGTCTGAATTAGCCCCTGATTAGAAGGAGAGGATGAAAAACAGAGGTGTTTCGGCCCTCCAGGACCGGAATTGAAGAACCCTGATATACAGTGTACAAAACATTAAGAGCACCTTCCTAATATTGAGTTGCCCTCAGAACAGCCTCAATTCGTCAGGCATGGACTCTCCAAGATGTCGATGCTGGCCCATGTTGACTCCAATGCTTCCCACAGTTGTGTCCTTTGGGTGGTGGACCATTCTTGATACAAACGGGAAACTGTTGAGCGTGAAAAACCCATCAGCATTGCCGTTCTCGACACAAACCGGTGCGCCTAGCACCTACTACCTACCATACCCCGTTCAAAGACACTTACATTATCTGTCTTGGCCATTCACCCTCTGAATGGCACACTTACATAATCCATGTCTCAATTGTCTCAAGGCTTAAAAATACTTCTTTAATCTGTCTCCTCCCCTTCATCTAATAACAACATGTAACTGGTAGTAATTGCGGTCTGTAATTACAGAAGTGTAACAACGAATGCTTGTTACCATGCTTGTTACAAATGGGCAGGTTTCCACTAAATTCCCCAATTTAGTGTTTAGCTTCTTCTCAGCTGCATCCGATTCATTAACAACTGTGACAAAGGTTGGGATCCCTTGTGGATGCGCTGGGTGTCTGAGAGATTATAGCCTATACTCAATAGGCTCTAATTACTTAACCATGAATGTGCACTGTTCTAAATATATCTCCAGTCAACGTTATTGCTAGCGCTTGTCCCCAAAATAAAGCGTACCATCTGGATGAACTTGGTTGAGCTTACGAAAACAGATCTAATGTGTGTGTCATCCCAGATGAGGAATAAGACACTATTTCAAAGCATAGTACATGTAATGTTTGCCTAAGTACAATGTAATGCTAGCTGTTACACAGGATTTAGCTAGTTAAAATGAAGTGTATCTTGAGGAGTACTTAGTTGTAATGAATGTGTACTTATACAGTACATTACCCATCCTGACAACCTGGCCCTCATTTTTAAAGCTTCTGGAAGTGCCATCCAAGTGGGAGAATAAACACACTAGTACACCATAAAGTACATGTAATATTTGCGTAAGTACAATGTAACTACTAGTTGTGACACAGGATTTAGCTAGTTGAAATGTATCTTGAGGGGTACTTACTTGTAATTATAGTGTACCTACAAAGTACATTACACATCCTGACAATCTAATCGTCAGCTTCTGAAAGGGCCATCCAAGTAGGAAATAAACACACTAGTACACCACATAGCACATGTAATATCTGCATAAGTAATTACTAGGTTATATACAGGATTCATCTAGTTAAAATGAAGTGTATCTTGAGGGGTACTGACTTGTGATTATAGTGTACCTGCAAAGTACGTTACGCATCCTGACAATCTAATCGTCAGCATCTGAAAGCGCCATCCAAGTAAGAAATAAACACACTAGTACACCACAGAGTACATGTAATATCTGCATAAATACAATGTAGTTAATAGGTGTTACACAGAATTTAGCAATTTCTGTACAATTACTTAGGCCTACTACTCAATACCAAGTGAAAATACCTAGAAACAATAAATGAGCTTCTACTTTAGTCAATGTTATTGCAACATGTAAAAATACCTTACATTTCTTTAAAAAATTATAAGTATTTATATAGTTATATTAATAATTTGATTAATAACATTAAACAAAGATATAACATAAAAATAACTATTCTAGTGGTGACTCAAATCTGTAGCCTATAGAATGATGAGTAGCCTAGATAGCTAATTTAGAAAAACAGGATTGTCTAACTAACCCAAGATAGACCACTCCATGTTGTTTCCAATGGGAAGCTAGTGAGTCAAGTGGGCAGAACAAGCAAGGAGGTGGGCAGAGCCAAGCATGCAAAAGCATGCTCCTATTGGCACGTTCTAGCATGTACAGTGGGGAGAACAAGTATTTGATACACTGCCGATTTCCCTACTTACAAAGCATGTAGAGGTCTGTAATTTTTATCATAGGTACACTTCAACTGTGAGAGACGGAATCTAAAACAAAAATCCAGAAAATCACATTGTATGATTTTTAAGTAATTAATTTGCATTTTATTGCATGACATACGTTTTTGATACATCAGAAAAGCAGAACTTAATATTTGGTACAGAAACCTTTGTTTGCAATTACAGAGATCATACGTTTCCTGTAGGTCTTGACCAGGTTTGCACACACTGCAGCAGGGATTTTGGCCCACTCCTCCATACAGACCTTCTCCAGATCCTACAGGTTTCGGGGCTGTCGCTGGGCAATACGGACTTTCAGCTCCCTCCAAAGATGTTCCATTGGGTTCAGGTCTTGAGACTGGCTAGGCCACTCCAGGACCTTGAGATGCTTCTTACGGAGCCACTCCTTAGTTGCCCTGGCTGTGTGTTTCGGGTCATTGTCATGCTGGAAGACCCAGCCACGACCCATCTTCAATGCTCTTACTGAGGGAAGGAGGTTGTTGGCCAAGATCTCGCGATACATGGCCCCATCCATCCTCCCCTCAATACGGTGCAGTCGTCCTGTCAACTTTGCAGAAAAGCATCCCCAAAGAATGATGTTTCCACCTCCATGCTTCACGGTTGGGATGGTGTTCTTGGGGTTGTACTCATCCTTCTTCCTCCAAACACGGCGAGTGGAGTTTAGACCAAAAAGCTATATTTTTGTCTCATCAGACCACATGACCTTCTCCCATTCCTCCTCTGGATCATCCAGATGGTCATTGGCAAACTTCAGACGGGCCTGGACATGCGCTGGCTTGAGCAGGGGGACCTTGCGTGCGCTGCAGGATTTTTATCCATGATGGCATAGTGTGTCAATGATTTTCTTTGAGACTGTGGTCCCAGCTCTCTTCAGGTCATTGACCAGGTCCTGCCATGTAGTTCTGGGCTGATCCCTCACCTTCCTCATGATCATTGATGCCCCACGAGGTGAGATCTTGCATGGAGCCCCAGACTGAGGGTGATTGACCGTCATCTTGAACTTCTTCCATTTTCTAATAATTGCGCCAACAGTTGTTACCTTCTCACCAAGCTGCTTGCCTATTGTCCTGTAGCCCATCCCAGCCTTGTGCAGGTCTATAATTGTATCCCTGATGTCCTTACACAGCTCTCTGGTCTTGGCCATTGTGGAGAGGTTGGAGTCTGTTTATTGAGTGTGTGGACAGGTGTCTTTTATACAGGTAATGAGTTCAAACAGGTGCAGTTAATACAGGTAATGAGTGGAGAACAGGAGGGCTTCTTAAAGAAAAACTAACAGGTCTGTGAGAGCTGGAATTCTTACTGGTTGGTAGGTGATCAAATACTTATGTCATGCAATAAAATGCAAATTAATTACTTAAAAATCATACAATGTGTTTTTCTGGATTTTTGTTTTAGATTCTGTCTCTCACAGTTGAAGTGTACCTATGATAAAAATTACAGACCTCTACATGCTTTGTAAGTAGGAAAAACTGCAAAATCGGCAGTGTATCAAATACTTGTTCTCCCCACTGTATTTGCATATTTCCATGCTCTTCCTTTTTTGAAACTTTGGCAGAGAGAATCCACTCTGTTCATAAAATGTATAGTTTTGGGAACAGAAAACTGTATTGAGGTCAAATATTTCATCGATGAGAAAATCGTCAAATTGTCAGCTCAGTTCCATCTCGCTCCATACTCTCCCACTGCCAGCCACTGAGCTTCCTCTCCCGACCATATTTGGCGGGGAGAGGAAACGTCAACTGGATGCTTTACATTTATACTTCTGGTGAAACATCTGGGCCATTGTTCTATCAGTGCTAACACTAATAAGTTAGCTAGTGTTTAGCTACATTGAAAATGAACTAATGTTACTCATAGTGTGTGTTGACACGCGTAGCTAGCTAATGTTAACATGCTAGTCCCAGCCTCTTGGCGCTCCACTTGTTGCACACTGTTGCCAGGCATAAATTCTTATCATAACAACCTGTGGAGTTAGCACTTTTTCAGTACCCATGTCCTTGGATG